GGTTTAGGGTTTAGGGTTTAGGGTTTAGGGTTTAGGGTTTAGGGTTTAGGGTTTAGGGTTTAGGGTTTAGGGTTTAGGGTTTAGGGTTTAGGGTTTAGGGTCCCCTGGCAGGGTGCAGGCCCTGCTTCGGCTTGGGGCTACCAAGGGCTGCAGGAGGAAGGACTGCCCTGGTCCTTGAACGTACATCTCCTTGACTCTCAGAAAGACCGGTATACGGACGACCCCTATTTTATCCCGGTATTTTGATAAAGAATAGGAGATCATGAAGAAATACTATATGAAATTCATCAAAAACAAGACTAAGAACAAGAAATGAGTTGCACTGCATGAGAAATTGAGTGTGTTCCCTCCCCTAAACTCCAATGTGTCTCGTACCAGAAGAAGCGCGAATATCACCTAGACACCTATGACTAGGTCGGGTGAGGTGGTTAGGGGACCTGTACCTGTGCGCGAATATCAGGAACTTTTTCTCCCTCTCCCTAAGTTTAAACCCCCTACCCCCTGATACTAAATACCCCTTCCCTCTCCTTATAGTTAGATTTCAGTATACCGGGGCATTTAGTATTAGAAGTAGGGAGGGCTTAATATGAGGGCAGAGGGGATGAATCATGACCCCTCCGACACTGCCCTCAAGCCCTCGCACAGGGCGCCGATACCGGCCGGGGCAGACGAAGAGGCGGGAGTTGGGAAGGCGGAGATACCCTAAACCCTAAACCCTAAACCCTAAACCCTAAACCCCTAAACCCTAAACCCTAAACCCTAAACCCTAAACCCTAAACCCTAAACCCTAAACCCTAAACCCTAAACCCTAAACCCTAAACCCTAAACCCTAAACCCTAAACCCTAACCTCTAAACCCTAAACCCTAAACCCTAAACCCTAAACCCTAAACCCTAAACCCTAAACCCTAAACCCTAAACCCTAAACCCTAAACCCTAAACCCTAAACCCTAAACCCTAAACCCTAAACCCTAAACCCTAAACCCAACCCCCTAACCCCCTAAACGAAGTGGAAGAGGCAAGGTTTCGAGCGCGTAGTCCATTCTGGACGTGCTGAGGACTTAAAGCTGTTAAACTCTCGATGGCTGGGGACCGCCCCCCTCCCCCCCCCCTCACCCCGATTGAGTAGCGCCTTGTCGGAAAAGCTGCCTGAGCTGAGCTTTTGTCATCTCGTTTTTCGTGCACCTTGCCTAAGCACCCAGAAGCTCAAAGCCGCTTCTTTCCAGGAGCGCCTGGTCGATTCTGTCGGGTGGGGGGGGGTTGTTCTAAATGCTGGCCTCCTTCTCTGGACCTTCTTTCGTCGGGTCCCTGACATACATTGTGTGGCTGCTCAGTGGCCATTGATGCCTCGGTCAAAAACTCTGTAAACAGAAAAGCGAGTGCAACGTCCATCCGTCCACGTTTGGGGGTCACACTGGCCCGTCGAGCTGGATCCCGCCCGTTTTCTTTGTCGTAGTTGGGTAACATTTTACATTTTTAAGGGTACTTAAACCCAATAAGGAATATAATTTTAAATTTTAATACTATCCCAACCATGAACTAGTTTTGGGGTTTTGGGTCTTGGGTTTACAACAGAGCCCTGGAAGGTTATAGCGTTCTGAAGGGAGGGAGGTTCATGGGGGGTGGGTGCCCAGGGAACCTTCTTAGGGTTTTAGGGAGTCGTGGGGGGAGTACTAGAGGACCTTAGGCTACATACCCCCCTTCCCTTAAGGACCCTCTAAGAAGGCCGCACGGAATGGGCGTCGGTGACCGCGTTGGCATTCTGCTGGACCTAAGGCGTGGGTGCTGTACTGGGACCGGAATTCAGCCTCGCCTGTAAGTAATATGATGGTATACGAATAACTCGTATGCAATGCAGAGTAGGCATGTGATAATTAATACGAAAATGTAATAGAACAGTATAGCATTAAAACGGTTCATCACATTCTGATATAGTAATATAGCGGTATTATAATATAGTGGTACAATACTAGAATATTTTGATATTCTCTTCGACAATAATGAATAACTCATGTAATATAGCAATCGAACTGTATAGCAAATATACTACACTAAGACAACAACAAAATTTTATATTGAACCAGAACAGTAGAAACAGATAAGAATATGGTAACGTAACAGTATGATAATGAAAGAATGAAACATGTAAGAAGAACATAAGATGACAATGACATTGCAGAATTAAACATGATACGTCTTATTATCGTACAACGTAAAATATTTCTTCGAATCCGACAACATACTTGCATTATTCTCCAAATGCTTTAATTTCATCATATCAAAACTTTTGAAATATCACTATAAGAATATCGCCATCTATACATTCATAGGGGGTAATACGATAGCATGATAATATAAGAAGACAATACAAGAATTATGTACTTGCATAATACCATGAGAACATGATAATTTAAGAGCCTCCGGCTCAAGCCGCCGACCCCGCTGGAGCATAAACCCGCTCGCATGGTTCGAAGATCATCCCAGCCTGCTCGGCAGAGTTCTGTGAAACGTTTGGTGGGGGGGTAGGGGGTAGGACAAGCTCAAGCCACAGGGTGGGGGGTGGTGGTGGGGGGGGGGTGGGGGGGGGGTGGGGGGGGGGGGGGGTGGGGGTGGGGGGGGGGGGGGTGGGGGGGGGGGGGTGGGGGGGGGTGGGGGGGGGGGGTGGGGGGGGGGGTGGGGGGGGGGGATGGGGGGGGGGGGGTGGGGGGGGTGGGGGGGGGGGTGGGGGGTGGGGGGGGGGGTGTTGGGGGGTGGGGGGGGGGGGGGGGCTGAGGAAAAAATTGTGCACCGACCCTTCGAGGGTTTTTCACTTCCTCAAACCCATCCAACACGCCGCCAGGGTCGGCGCGATATGAAAGGATGATAATATGACCATAGAATATACTCTTTTCAACATTGTGCTAAAGTCATGGGTTCCCCGAAAAACTCCTCTGTATACTACCCTCCCCCAAGGTCGCCCCCACAGTTAAGGCTATCTAGGAGATTTATGCTTAAGTAAGGGTATTTAAGGGGGGTACCTAGGGGGTTAGTATATAGGGGGGGGGGTAGGAGGGTAACCCCATGATAAAGATGTCATAGTGATTCAGAGAAATCTCGGTGTGGGGTTTGATCCTGGTGACAAGCAAGAGTTCGGACGGTTTAGAATTTAGGGTTTAGGGTTTAGGGTTTGGGGGGGGGGGTTAGGGTTTAGGGCTGAGGGTTGAGTACACAACAGGCCTACTTTCCAGAGCATGCTTGAAGCAGGAGCATGACTGGCGCACGCTCTAAACTCTTACCCCGAAGCTTAGTGGGTCGTGATTTAGGGTTTAGGGTTTAGGGATAGTTTTTTCTCCCCCCCACCTCTAGTTTCAACTACTCGCCTTCTAAACCTGTAAGTGAAACACAGGCAGTTCGAAGCTACCAAGCCTCGTCAGCAGCGTGTGCATCCACGGAATTGTGTGCTGCATCCACGGAATTGTGTACGGATTAGAGTTTTTTTACTAGGATGCCCAGTAGTACCCTTATTCCCCTTTTGGGGGGTTTAGGTTCCCTTATCAACCCCTTCAAGCAAAAAAGGGCACCCTTTTTAAGCCTAGGTTACTGGGCAGCCTAGTTTAGTTTTGCAATGAAGGGCTGGGTAGCATCGAGACATCAAGTTGGGCTGCCGCACCCCAGAGCCCAACCTTGCTGTGGCATTTCGGGTTTGGGGTTTGGGGTTTGGGGTGTCGGGTTTAGGGTTTAGGGTTTAGGGTTAAGGGTTTTTTAGGGATCCCTCCTTATACCCCTCTATAGAACCATGGTTTATCCAAGTACGCCCTAAACCCTAAACCCCAAGCCCCAAACCCCAAACCCCAAACCCTAAACCCTAAACCCTAAGCCCTGGGAACCCTTCAAAACTTGGAGCCCTCCCTTGCGGCGTGTCAGGGATCCCGGTGCGCCCCTCGAGTTCGTCCTGAATCGCCGCTCCACGGGTCCGTTCTTGCACGCGTGGGAGGTGTACCGCCAAGGAGCCTCGGTTTAGGGTTCAGGGTTTAGGGTTCTAGGCGGTTTAGGGTTGAGGGTTCTAGGGCGGTTTAGGGTCAAAAACGGGTGAAATTTGGGGAAAAAAAGGCTTCGGGTACCAAGGGGTCTAGGAGCCGAGCTCAAGGAGAGATGGCGGGTAATGCCCCCCGGGTTTAGGGTTTAGGGTTTAGGGTTTAGGGTTTAGGGTTTAGGGTTTAGGGTTTAGGGTTTAGGGTTTAGGGTTTCAGACCATAGGGGCGGCTCCAGGAATGCTAGAGAGCCGTGGCCCGGAGAATCCCCGCTCCATCTGGTTTAGGGTTTAGGGTTTAGGGTTTAGGGTTTAGGGTTTAGGGTTTAGGGTTTAGGGTTCACAGAGTGATACCAAAGCCGTAACAAAGCCCCCCTCCCTGCGCACTGCCCACTGCTGCCCCCCCCCCCCTTCCCCAATCCCCGAATCCCTCACATTGAAGATTCCCATTCTACGCGCATAAGCTTTGTTTATTGGGGGGGTGTGGGATGTTCGCAATCATGTGACCGCCAGGCTCACACTGCCTCTTAGCTTTGGCACGCGGTGCATTTCCCGATGGTGCCAGCGAAAGTGGTACGGGCCCCAGGCCGGGTCGACAATGACTCGTTCACCACGGTGATGATCCGCCGGTTGCCTGTGGAAATGACGCCCACCAAGCTCGTTGCCATGATGGACATGGTGGTCCCAGGCAAGTTCGATTTCATCTACATGCCGTATGATCGCCGCAAGAATGTCAACATCTCCCTTGCCTTCATCAACCTCACGGACAGTAGCAGCGCCAAGGAGCTGTGCGACTACATCAACAATCTCAATGCTTGTAGGCAATGGAGCTTGGTGGCTTGCGAAAGCAGCGTGCAGAGCCTCAGCTTCAACATGGCCTACTACGTCGCGCGCTTCGGCCGGGGCGCCATTTACCAGCCGCACGCACCATGGGTCTTCAAGGACCGAAAGCGTGTGACGAGGTCTGAACTCTCCAAATTCTATGAATCCATACCTCAATGGGTGTACGAGGAGGCACAGAACTTCGTGCGGGCTGAGAAGGCTGACAACAGCAGCAAAGGCGTCCGTCGGCGCGCCAGAGGCCTCGTGTGGAAGCCAAGCTTTTTGAGCTCAAGCGGAGAAGAAGGTGTGGGGCCGGGTGAGTGTGATTCTGCTCGTGAGACACCCTTGCCCAGCATCAGGGATCACATCATCGTGCGCTGTCACCCTGACTTGCTTCTCCATAACGGCTTGGCTGAGCAGCTTCTTGTGGAGCACGGCGAGCTCCTCATCAGCTGCTGAGTATTCTGATTCCAATGATCTAAGACAATTCTGATTCCACCTGAAATAATCTGAACAATGATGAGTCCATCTGAAATATTCTGAAGGAACCATTTGTAGGTGGTGCCCAATGTGTCCAAGCCACGAACCAACTTAAATCCTTCCAATCGCAGTATACCGAAGTACCGCGAAGTGCCTGTATCAAGGGACTACAGGAGGGACCCTTATAAGGGACCTCAGGGGTTTTTCAGGGGCAAAATAGGGGTTACTTACGGGCTATGTGGGGTCTACGGGAACCATCTACGGTGTATATGGGGCCTATATAGGGGAAGAAGCTTAAGGGCCCCTTCTAGGGGTCCCTCCTTTTGCCCCTAACCCTAAACCCTAAACCCTAAACCCTAAACCCTAAACCCTAAACCCTAAACCCTAAACCCTAAACCCTAAACCCTAAACCCAGGGCCCCTTCTAGTTGCTGCAGGGCGATGGCTCGCACGCAGAGGGCATCCCAAGCATTCTACTAGGAACTACTTGGAGGTTCATGGTACTTATGAACCAATGACAATAGGGTTTAGGGTTTAGGGTTTAGGGTTTAGGGTTTAGGGTTTAGGGTTTAGGGTTTAGGGGTACTTATTAACCGATTATAGCTGTACTTATAACCCAGTTATAACCTCCTTAAGTGCCCTGATATGGTTGTAAGTACAGTTATTACTGGTTAATACGTACCATGAACCTCCAAGTACGAATTGCTTAAGAACCCCCCCCGAAGAAACAAAAACTATTCTTCCTTGTAGGGGTAATCTATGGATTATTGTTTTCGTCTCATAAGGGTAATGTAGAGATTATTGCTTTTGAGTCTTGTGCGGGGCTCTTAAGCAAACAGTAGACCACCCTCCAGAAGGTACACTGCTTCTTGGGGGACCGAAGGAACCCCTAAAAAGGGTTTATGTGGCCCAACATGTCGTAAGAGGGATTGTGGTAGAGTGTATGGAGGACCGAAAATTGTAGGGTTCATGTGGTCCCCGGAGATTCTCAGCATCGCTGAAGGGAACTCTGCTGAGTGGTTAAGCTGCGAAGTAGTCGAAGATCAGGGAGCTGGGCGGGGTACCTCCAACGCGCGTGAGCATGCAGGAATTCAGGATTTTGTGCGCCTGCGCACATTGAGGTCGAAGATACGAAGTGCCTTTGCTGGCAGATTTCAAACGCTCTTGACAATGGACGTCAGGGCAGTGCCCAATGTCGTGATCGCAGCATGCGGCACCACGCACCGCCTTCGTTGCAGCTTTGCCGATAGCTAGCACTCAGGTGAGCGTGTGGTTTGTTTTTGCTGCGGCTTCTCAGCATCCCTTGCGGGAACTTAGCTTCCCAGAGACTCCAAAACCCCTTAATTAAGGAATATATCTTAAATCATATTAGGGTTCCTATTATGATTTGAGGGATATACCTTAATTAAGGGGTTTTGGAGTCTCTGGGTTTGTGGTTCCGCATCGAAGTGGTCGGAGATCATGGAGCTGGGATGGCCAAACTTTTGAAGCGGTGGGCGCCTCCGTCTGCCGCAGCCCAGAGACTCCAAAGCCCCTTAATTGAGGTATATCCCTTAAATCATAAGAGGAACCCTAATATGATTTGAGATCTATTCCTTAATTAAGGGGTTTTGGAGTCTCTGGGAGGTGCTTGCAAGGAATGTCGATGTTTTGCCTAGCCACGTTGGCGAACTCTCATGTCTTTCGCCCCACTGGAGTCGCTTAACGCAGGTCGGAGTCCCGAAGTCCTTTTGCAACCGCCAGAACACAAATGCCCTTGATGGTGCACGGTAGTGGGGTGTGGGGCTAGGCCGTGAGTTTCACCGACCACTACAATCTTGGTAGCCCAGTGGTAAGTGGCACCTTTTATTTTTTTGGCTTATGGGTTCCCTTTATAAAGTAGACAACCCAAAAAAGGCTTTAGGGTGTTTTTTTGTTTTTGGGTTCCCTTATTAGAATATGGTTATTGGGCTACCAAGCGGTTGTCCAACACTCCTCTGACTATGAAACGTTTTGGCTCCCAGAGGTCTGCTTGTCGTCAGCTGGCATAGCCGGCGAGGTGAGGTCGGAAGGGTTTGGGGTTGGGGTTTAGGGTTTAGGGTTTAGGGTTTAGGGTTTAGGGTTTAGGGTTTAGGGTTTAGGGTTTAGGGTTTAGGGTTTAGGGTTTAGGGTTTAGGGGTGCAATAGAAATTGTAAGTGACCCAAAAGCACTCAATTTCATGCCATTCTGAGGAGAGTCCCCCCTGACATTGGGCTGGTTGTGGTTTGCGGAAGGATGGGGCCAGTCGGGCGGCTGAAGAAGCATGAGCCCAGGCAGGCGCGAACAAGGTTTAGGGTTTAGGGTTTAGTGTTTAGGGTTTAGGGTTTAGGGTTAAGGTTGCCTGCAAAGTGATCTCCTTTACAGGACGATCTGTGGTGGATAATTCAGAAGTCGGAATAATCAGTAGCAGTGTTCCCTTAAAATAGTCCCTCTGCATTTATACTTTATCAAAGCCCTAAACACAAAAACCCTAAATTCTTAAGGCCCCGTTGCTTTACGCGAAACGCGTTCAGCTGGTACAGGAGGCATACGCCTCGATGGTGAGGAGTCGTTGGTGGCCAGGGCCTGGCCGAGAACGGACAAGGAAAAAGCAAACCCAGGTACTATACTATCTAGGGTTTAGGGTTTAGGGTTTAGGGTCTACTTGGCTTTCTTCTGGCTGGCTTTTCGAAATTTAGGACTTTAACCTTTTGGGTTTCTGTAGAAACTACAAGAAGGAGCCCAAGAGTCAAATTTTTTTAAGAGGGTTGAGGTTTTAGGGTTTAGGGTTTAGGGTTTAGGGCTTAGGGTTTAGGGTTTAGTCAGCCAAGTATATGGGTCGGAATTTGGGGATGTTCCCCCTTGCCCTTGTACTAACAGTCCTAAATTGGGATTGTTGTAGGGGGGGTACAATAATCCCATTACGGACTGCCAGTATAGGGGGGCACATCCCAAAGGGTCGGACTAATTTTTAGGGTTTAGGGTTTAGGGTTTAGGGTTTAGGGTTTAGGGTTTAGGGTTTAGGGTTTAGGGTTTTAGGATTACTACTCTTATTCCAATATGGTCCCTATGGAACCATACCATACGAAACCCTAGTCCAATTATATTCTATTTACGAAGTATCTTTCAGAGGGTGTTAAGGGCCCTCCTAGCCCCCTAAGCCCTAAACCCTAAACCCTAAACAAAACCCTAAACCCAAAACCGTAAACCCTAAACCCTAAACCCTGAATACCCCCTTAAAGGGGTTTGCGGGGGGGTCGCCGACCTCGTGCCGGCAATGCAATCCCTTCCGCGAGGGTTACTACTAGGGTTTAGGGTTTAGGGTTTGGGGTTTAGGGTTTAGGGTTTAGGGTGTGGTGTTTAGGGTTTAGGGTTTGGGGCTTGGGGTTTGGGTTGGGGTTTGGGGTTTTGGACATCCCCCCTACTGCTGGTCAAGTTTTGAAGGCCCAAAGTGTCACTTTGAAAGGAGCGCCGCTGTTCCCCTGCGTGAGCTTCTGCACCAACCACGTGGGCCAGAGACCCAGCGGCTGTTTGTGGCAGGGGGCATTTGTTGTTTAGCGTCTGCATGGCTGAGATACCTCAAAGCCACTCCACCACTTCGTAAGCTGACACCTCTCTCAAGAATAACACGACCCTGACCAAGAATGGCGACGGGAGCGCGACTAAGTAAATAACGAACCGCTGTAGCAACCAAGAAATGATCCTAATACAGGGGCCTCAATACTTCGAATAGGGTTTGGGGATATTATCGCATTGTACTGGTAACTATTCCGACCCCTATATTACACGCACCAAGCCCAGAAAGCCCACAACCCCAAACCAAATCAAGAAAAAGAGCCCTAAACCCTAAACCCTAGACCCTAAACCCTAAACCCTAAACCCTAAACCCTAAAACCCTAAACCCTAAACCTCAGCTGTCCCCATGGGTAGGTTGCACTGCCACGCTGACACATCTTGGACCTCCACCGGATGACATCGTGCCGCCACTGCTTCAAAGGGACTTGCAGTACGTCATGAGGATTGGGTTTCCGGGTTTAGGTTTTTGGTTTTTGGTTTTAGGGTTTAGGGTTTAGGGTTTAGGGTTCAGGGTTTAGGGTTAGGGTTCTAGCGGGGGAGGCAATGCTGGCAGTCATCAAGTCCGGTTTCAAAAAAGGGTTAGGGTTCTAGGCGGTTGAGGGTGTAGGTTTTGGATTTAGGGTTCAGGGCCAGGAGCTCAGTTCCGGTTTCCAAATGGTTGCTAAAACTATATTCCCCTTGAGAATTATTCTTTATTTTGTTTATATAAAACCCAAGAGGATATTAAACATACTATTCTTAAACTAATGTTCTAAGGGGAGTATAGAAAAGCGTTGAAAACGACGTGGCTGAGAATCTTGCATCTTACATCGCTTCACAGGAGCCATCGAAGATGACAGTGCCCGCTGAAGTCTTGCTTGCACTCCCCCCCAAGAAAATCAAAAAAGAGTAAATAGGGTTTAGGGTTTAGGGTTTAGGGAATAAACAAAACAAGAAACAATCCCAAACCCAATGTTCTGAGACCCAAGCTCCTTAACACACCTGCAGCCCTAAGTCCTACCCACTCTCAGAAAAAAGCCCCCCCCCCCCCCCCCCCCCCCCCCCAAAAAAAAAAAAACCCTCAAAGCTCTGAAGCCTCGAAGCAAGGTACCCTGGGATCCAGAGTTTTCTGGGGATGAGATCGCCTTCTTCAAGGGCGAGCCAGAGGATCAGGGCTTCAGTGCGTCAGGGTGTTAGGGCGTACAAGAGGGGCCGGACTAGTTGCTAGTCGTAGTGTCCCCTAAACCCTAAACCCTAAACCCTAAACCCTAAACCCCCTAAACCGAAACCCTAAACCCCAAACCCTAAACCCCAAACCCCAAACCCCCCCAAACCCCAAACCCCAAACCCCAAACCCCAAACCCCAAACCCCAAACCCCAAACCCCAAACCCCAAACCCCAAACCCCAAACCCCAAACCCCAAACCC